GTCCAGTGTCCAGTGTCCAGTGTCCAGTGTCCAGTGTCCAGTGTCCAGTGTCAAGTGTCCATGTGTCCAGTGTCCAGTGTGCATGTGTCCAGTGTCCAGTGTCCAGGGGTATATATTTAAATAAAAATGTTTTTTTTCTCAAATAAAATTTGGGTTTTTGTCGAAATACCCGGGAAAATAAATTTTAAGAAAAAAATATTGTTTAAAGCAGGAATTTTCCAATACAACCTTCTTTCTTAAATCACGGGCAGCCGTGGTACATTTGAATTCCAGATCCGGGACAACCTTTCCGGTCCCAGTTTGTTCTGCACGGCACGGATATTGGGTTAATAAAGAAGACAATCAACAGGACTAGCCGGTGCAACAAGGTTGACGCGGTCAGACTTTATGCTTCCTATATGTTGAATTAACTCTTTTACAAAAGGGGCAGAGGTGCGTGAAATCCTTCTTAAATCCTGGCCAAAAAGTGGGTAAAGGGAGTATTTATTTTAAATTATTCCTATGAATATTACCTTTACTTTCAGTACATTTCATTCTTGGAAAAAAAACTTAAAAGGATACATCTTTATTTTTGATGCTAATTCTTTCTTACTGATGTTTAAAAACAAGAAACTCTATACCGTTGTTTGGTTGGTGTTAAACATATAAGTTTGAGGTGTATGAAAAATAATGCTCTCTTTCCATTTCCGGAAAACTGAAACCTTTTTTTGTAATAATGTATTTCATATTTATGACTTAGCAAACATACTTAAACCATCCCATTTCCTTCAATAGATAAATAGAACAACACATAAAAATTTTACACAGAAAGCCTAAAAACCAACCCGATAAAACATGATAGTCAAACAAACAAAACAACTCATAAAGCCTAAAAGCCTACCGGATTAAAAATCTGAGAAAACTTAAGAACCAAACCAACCAAACAGCTCAGAAAACCTTAAAGCCAACTCAAACAAGAATAGTTAAGAGACAAAACAACCAAACAACTTAGAAAGTATCTGTGTCAAACCTGAGCCAACCTGACCAAACAACCAAAAAAGCTTAAAATCCAACCTGACCAAACAACACAGAAAGGCTATTAGCCAACCTGACCAAACAACCCACAAATCTTGTAATCCAACCTGACCAAACAGAAAGCTTAGAGCCAACCTGGCAAAACAACAAAGAGAGCCTAACAAAATACCGCATAGGAAGCTTAAGAGACGACCACAACAACAATTGCAAGAGACAAAAACCCAACCAAATCGAATTCCAACGTTCTCAATTAAACTCAATACACATTCAACTCTCTCCCAGGTAGCAGGGTACATTGCACTTATGATGACAGTAAAAAACATCTCAGACAGAGAGACGAACTACCACGTGAACCAGACCCAAAGACTAACAGATAAAAAATGGGGAAAATTGGAACATGCATGCAGGCAATATGAGCAACATTAAAGACAGAAGTGTAGCTTAGCATGAAAAGCAGAAAGACAGATTAGCATATAGGGCTTTCTCAGCATGAACGCAGGAAAACAACTCGACATGAAAGGCAAAAACACAGCTATCATGAAAGACATAAAGACAGCTATGCATGAAAGGCAGAAAGGCAGATATGCATGAAAGACAGAAAGACAACTCTATAAGAAAAACAGGAAGACAGCTCAGCTAATCAAGAAAGGCAGAAAGATATGTTAGCAAGAAAGACAAAAAAAATATAAAGTCAGGAAGGGTAGTTAAATTTTTGATGTAGGACGACAGGAAGAAAGGCCTGGATATATCTATATATGAGAATGTATGGGGTAGGTACAGGATCAATATAACTGACAAGTATAAGGGGAGAGCTAATTACATCTAAACAAATATAGAACCTTCCTTTTGTTTTCATACAAGAGATGGGGGGATTAAGCAATATATTGAGAAGAAAAAGAAAACTTGGTCAAAAGAGAAAAAAACATGGAAAACTATTTTTAACACTATTATTTTGGTTCGCAGTGTTATGAAGTTTTTCTCTTCATCGTACTGTCTTATTTCAATGGCCACTTCTAGATAAAATAAGCTTTGTAACAAAGTAGAAGTCAAAATATATGTAAAGTTAATTTCATTTATATTTTCATTTCAATTGAAAATAAAAATTTTGGAAATATCCTAATTTCTTTGGAGAAAATCCGGGAACCTATAAAAATTTTATAGCACATGTGCTATATATAATGTATGTGCTATGTACATCTAATTGAAAATTATAGCACACGTGCTATAATGTACAGCTAATTTAACTTAATAGCACAATGATTACTTTATAGCACGTTCATTATGAAATTCTGGATGAAGTGAGTTATTATGATAAAGTAAACAATAGTTTCATAAGATATTATAATTTCTATTTAGTTCTTAGGATTCATTTCATATTGATGCAGATCCGCATCTTGTATCCGCTTTGGATAAAATGGATCCAGATCCGGACCAAAACCTAATCCGGATCCAGGTCCTGACCACTTATTCAAGATTTACTGTTTTTTTTTTATCAAATCAAAAATGTTAAAAACTTTTCGTGAATTTTTTGCACAAAATTAGTGAACCATTCAGAGACTTGGCAGTTTTTATCTCCTTTTAGTCTTCTGTTTTGTTTTTGTTAATATTTTTACGCTCGAATCCGGATCCATGCAAGTCTAACGGATCCTAAGCAAACATTTGCCGCCCCAAAATCTAAATCAGTTAAGGATTCGCATTTCTTTATCATTTATCATGAATACAATACATACTGGAGAACCTAGCATTCATGTATCATTCACAATATTTTCTATTGTTAAAAGAAGATACAGGGTGATCCACATCATTTTGGATCGTAAATGGCTCTAAATTAGGAATAAAAAAATTTGGAAGAATGAAGATATTCTCCTATAAGGCCAAAGTAAAAATTAGCTTGCAGAAAAGGTTTTCGAGTATTTGTGCGTAATTTGGCGTTGAAGATTATCCAATATGATAAGGGACGTTCTGTACTTACGATAACATTTTTTTATACCATTTAACTAGGGAAAAACAATAAGGTTCTTATAAAGAATTGTATCAATAAATAATTGAAGCTTCGGCTCCGAAGCATGAAAAAAAAAATTGAAAGAAACCAAGTAAAAAGAGTTGCAAGGTGTATAATTAAGTTCATACGGTTGGCTAGGTAGAAAACCGGCACAATTTATTATAAGCAAAATAAATGTCACTTTCTTCTGACAGCAACAGTTATACATGTACAGCTGTACAGCTTAATATAGACGGCCAAACAGATCGTTATTCGGAAATTTAGCGTTAAGATTGTTATGTTGAAATCGTTAATTTAATATTAAGCTATCTTAAAATTGTTAACATAACATTAAGCTATCATAAACTTAACATAAAGCTATCTTAAGATATCGTAAACTTAACATAAAGCTATATTAAGATCGTTAATTTAATATTAAGCTATCTTACGATTGAGAATTTTAAATCAAGTTACCATTAGCGTTAATTTAAAAGTGAGATATGTTGAATTCGTTTATTCAATTACTTCGTGATCGTTAAATAAGTAATGGATTACCTTGAGATCGTTAACTACAACGTTAAATAAGTAATGGATTACCTTGAGATCGTTAATTACATCGTTAATTAAGTAATGTATTACCTTGAGATCGTTAACTACATGCTGAAACAGTCCTCCAAGTGCAGCACACTCCCTAAAATAAAAAAAATAAAAAAATTTCTTTTTTAAATTGAAGCAACACTTTTTTAATTCAAAACTAAAAAATATACAATAAAATATCAAAAACAAGAACTGAAAAAAATATCCAAAAATCTGTTTAATGAAAAAACTGTAAAATATTTCTTAAAATTAGGAAACCAGTTCTCCAAAAACTGTATTTAATTAAACGTAGAGAAGTATTAAGGAAGAAGGGGGGGGGTAGAGGGGAAGAATAAAATTACTAGATGAAAACGAATTTAAGAAGATTAAGAGGGGAAGTTTTTAAGGGAATTACAAAATCCTCGAATTAAAGGAAAATAATTTGAATTGTTGACAGATTCGATCCCCCCACTCTCCATCCTGTAAACAAGGGTGCATAAAACCAATCTATATTCAACATTTTAGAATCTGAATCTAAACGAAATCTTGTTCAAATATCAAATCAAGGATTTTTTTTAGAACTTAAATATCTAAAGAGAGAGAAAAGCCACCGCAGTTTAAAAATTGTTAATTTTTTGAAAACTGAATCGGAAAGCGAAATAAAAATATCAAAAAACCCAAAAAAAGAGTAAAAAAAATAATTAATTCACTGATAATATTTTACATAAACTTTTTGAATTATGACCTAAATAAAATCTAACAACAAAGATTTTGATAACTTAAAAATATAAACACATGAATAATTGTGTAAATATTATAAAGATATGAAATTTTCCTGAATAATCATCAATTCTTTTTAATCATTTTAATTTGGTGCCGATGTGAGTTCCAAATCATAAAAAAATCAGGACACATATACATTTTTAAATATTTTGGTTTTGCACACAGGTAGGAAAATATTTATACCCTGTGATTGGGACTAAATAAAATTATTAAAAACTCGACACGATAATAAATTCAGATGAAAATAATAATAATAATAATAATAAATTTAATCCTAATGATAATAGATTGATCAGAAAGGGAACGGGATTACTTAATAAACTTTGCACCTTTGTGGAAATACCCTTGTTCTGCTATCATGAAATTGATAATCTTAAATTGCGGTTTACGTGCGGACATATATGCATCAGAAACAAGCAGGGTATCGCATGACAAAATTTACTCTTATTAAAAAAGATATAAATTTCTAGGTTGAACTAGGAACCAATATATGGACGGAAAATTTTAAAATAAATCCATCGGAAATATCTGGAAGAGCTAAGAATAAAACAGATCAGAGATGAAAACTTTAGAATGAGATATCTTTAATCCCGATTACTAAATCTGAGCTTCCCCAGACACACTATTGATTTTATTCTTAAACCGTCTTTTGTTGGATAAAGTAGAGAAAAATCAAAAACCGGTTTTTCTAAATTAGAGAGTTCCTCCCATTTCTGTATATAATCTTAAATGGCGCGCAAAATTTCAAATTTACCGGATTCATATACGCCACTCTGATTGGTTGAATTTTATACACTTTTGAGAGACAAGTACAAGATTAGGTTAGTCTCGATATTAAGAAAAAGAGAGGATCAAGCATTAATTTCGATATCCATCATTCTAAAGTTTTCAGCTCAGAAGGGATAAAAAATGAAATTTCAAAAGTACAATTATTTCAGATTTGTGTAGTATATAAAAAAATTGCGTCTTTATAACTGAACTTTTTTTTAATTGTGACTTAACCAGAGACCGAATTTAAAGAATTAAAGCCGCGGCTCAAATATGGTTGGTTCCACTTAAAATAGTCTTTAATGTTTTAAGATTTAAGCTGGCACTCAATTAAAACCGGTTTTTGGCGGATTTGAGACGCCGCTTAGATTCATTAAATTCGGACACAGTTTTCTTTTCCATAAATCCTAAAAAACTGCCAATGATAAAAAAAGATATTGTTATGATCTAAAATAATTAAAATTATGGCACTTTAAGTCGAGAAATTATAAGTAAAAAAATCATATTCTTAGCTATTTTTTTTATAATGCGGTGAGCTCGAAGGGGGGGGGGTAGAAAGTATAGAACGAATTAAGAATACAGAGAAAGGGGTGAGAAAATACCCTCAGAGACCAGAGATGAGGGAATTAAGAGTTGAGTGAACGTTGACTGATTAGAACAAAACAAAAACAACAGTTTTTGAAAATAAATTATAGTAAATATATATAATAATATATCTAGCTAAAGTGCCCAGGCGTTGTCAGCGGAATTTTAAAACATTTTAAAAAGATTTTTGAAAAAAAAAACATTTTTGAATTCTTTTTAGAGTATTCACCCCTCGGGTATCCATCGGTTCCCTCAAAAAACTTCAGCCCATTCGGTCCGCCTGTTTGGCCAGCTATAGCTGACATATATACATGTATGTGAGCGAAGAGCTTTATTGTATAGATAATAATAAACCATAAATTAAAATGAAGGCCCAATTAGAGTTGTGTAAAATAGTTTTCTCATGTTAACAAATTAAATTCTTAATTAATGGGATGTGGTTTCGGATCGCTATTTATTGTTTGTTTTGCTCAAGTTCCAATATTTTATATTTTTAATCAGAATAATACGTTTTCAGTTGGTTTGATATCCATTCCACACCCTTGTCCTTTTTAACTAAGCCATCATCAATGCTTGATAAAAGATTCAAAATGTATTGCTTTGAACTTGAAGAAAGATTCAAAATGTATCGCTTTGAACTTGAAAAAAGATTCAAAATGTATCGCTTTGAAATTGAAAAAAGATTCAAAATGTATCGCTTTAAAATTGAAAAAAATATTCAAAATGTATCGCTTCAATTCGTTGACAGCATTCTTTAAATAAAGTTAGCAACTGTCGAAAAGTAAGAAATGATTAATATTGCGAAGAAAATAAAATTGTAAATTTTAATTTGATCAGAGCTGGGAACTTTTGAATGGTGGATTTCGGGATTAATGCTTGATCCGCTATTTTTCTTAATCTCAAGATTAAATAATGCTTGTTCTCACCTTGTTTCTTTCTATGAAACTGAAAACTATTAATCATGATATATTTGGAACAATCTTTTTTAATCTAAACAGGCCTTCAGGCATTATAAACTTCAAAATGTATTATTAATGAATTTTAGTGCAAAAGGTCTTTTTTTCGACACCCCTGGAGAGGAGAAAAAAGTTAGTTGTAACGGTTCAGATGATTTCACTGGATATGATAAGGGTGAAGACGGGGGGGGGGGGGGGGGGGGAGTCAGAGTTTATCTGGATATACTAACAAATTGTAGGGGGGAGAAAAGAGCCGGAAATAGAAAAAAATAAGAGTTGAAATATATTAAAAAAGTGACAAACTATGTTTTAAAGAGAAAATAAACAAGTAGGATAGAGCATAGAAGTGTAGAATAGGAAAAAAAACTTCAATTGGGTAAAAATAACAAAAAAACGGAATGCTATTAAAATCAAGCTGATCACAAAAGCAACAGGTTAGTAAAAAAAAAATTTCAAGCAATAATTTTGTTTTAAAAAATTTGTCAAACTAGACTCATTTTTTTAGTTAGTTAAAGGTTTATTCATGAAATAAAAGGCTTTCATACAACTCAGTCAGCTTGAAACTCAGAGCTTACAAAAATATTATTAAATTTTTAAGAATCAGCACATTTTTTAGAAATCCAATAATCAATATCTATTTTGAAATTTTTAGAAGAACAATTTTGGGATAATACCGTTTGATTTGAAAATAAATATTCGATTTTCAATTTAAATCTTTATTTGATATCGATTTTGTGTAAAATATAGAATTCTTCCCTTTTCAGTTTTTTTTTTTGGTAAAAAAACGGTCATTTTAGTGTGTACAGTGAACACTATGATTCTTGTAATCCTACAGGCTTTTCTAAACCTTCCCTCCTGCGGTTAGATTATTCCTATCACTCCCTTTCCCATCTCTCCTCTCTCCTATCACTCCCTTTCCCATCTCTCCTCTCTACTATCACTCCTTTTCCCATCTCTCCTATTTCCTATCACTCCTTTTCCCATCTCTCCCCTCTCCTATCACTACCTTTCACATCACTCCCTTTCCAATCTCTCCTCTTTTCTATCACTCCCTTTCCCATCTCTCCTCTTTCCTATCACTCCCTTTCCCATCTCTCTTCTTTCCTATCACTCCCTTTCCCATCTCTCCTTTTTCCTATCACTCCCTTTCCTATCACTCCCTTTCCTTTCACTCCCTTTCCCATCTCTCGGCTATCCTATTACTCCCTTTCCCATCTCTCCTCTTTCCTATCACTCCCTTTCCCATCTCTCTTCTTTCCTATCACTCCCTTTCCTATCACTCCCTTTCCCATCTCTCTTCTTTCCTATCACTCCCATTCCCATCTCTCCTCTTTCCTATCACTCCCTTTCCCATCTCTCCTCTTTCCCATCCCTCCCCTTCCCATTCTAACTATTTCCCGTCCCTTCCCATACCTTCCTTATATATTCCTTCCCATCCCTCCTCTTTCTTCGTTTATTCCTCAAACTCGTAAAACATTTATTGCCCTTTTTAAGCTCAACAAAAATGAATGTTTACTCTTAAACGTTTAAATATTTGTGAGATAAGAAGAAAATGAATCAAGCAGGTTGCAAACAGAAGAACGTGGTGTGATTTCGAGGATTTTAAGGTCAACAAAATTACAAAATAAAGAATTAAGTATAATCATTAACTATAAATATAAAACACAACAATATGAAAAAATAGTAAATAATAAGGGAAAACAAATATAAAATGGTTTGGTTTTCAATTTATATTCAATAACAACACAGTAGGAAAAATTATGCATTAGGAAGATAATCTTCCAGCGTTGAAATCTATATTAAATCAGCCGGAAATAACTGTAGCTAGGGGGGCGCGGTGTTTCATCAAAAGCTCACCACGTTTAAATCCCTGAAATACAGGTTTAGGGGGGCAAATGCGGCAGGAGGGGGGGGGGGGGGTCGGGTTGAAAAAACTGAAGAATGATAAAAATATTAAGAATTTTTATGGAAATCTGAAAATAATGTTAGGATAGAATAGAATCTCTTATCTATGAATATATATCTCTATTTTTATTTTATGTTTAAGAATATATCTCAATTAAAGAATAAATATTAAGAAAATATCCAAGTTTAAAAATAATGCATCTTGTTGTTATCATAAAGGATATGGATGACATAATTACAGTATCATAGAATAGTTAGATAAAAATAGGAAAGTTCTTAGACTAATTTTGAAAATATTTAATTTATTACTAACATTGATTAAGAAAAATTGTAAAAAGAACTGTAATAAAATTAAAGACAGAACCAAAAGAAAAATTGAAAAACAACGAAAAAAGGCAAAAGATGAGTTCAGAAAGATGTTAAAAACAAAAGAAAGAAAGAACAGAAGAATGATAATGAGGAAACTAATGAAAAAGAAACTGATGAAAAAGAAACTGATGAAAAAGAAACTGATAAAAAAGAAACTGATGAAAGAGAAACTGATGAAAAAGAAACTGATGAAAAAGAACCTGATGAAAAAGAAACTGATAAAAAAAAGAAACTGATGAAAGAGAAACTGATAAAAAAAGAAACTGATGAAAAAGAAACTGATAAAAAAAGAAACTGATGAAAAAGAAACTAATGAAAAAGAAACTGATGAAAAAGAAACTGATGAAAAAGAAACTAATGAAAAAGAAACTGATGAAAAAGAAACTGATGAAAAAGAAACTGATGAAAAAGAAACGGAAGAAAAAGAAACTGATGAAAAAGAAACTGATGAAATAGAAACTAATGAAAAAGAAACTGATGAAAAGGAAACTGATGAAAGAGAAACTGATGAAAAAGAAACTGATGAAAAAGAAACTGAAGAAAAAGAAACTGATGAAAAAGAAACTAATGAAAAAGAAACTGATGAAAAAGAAACTAATGAAAAAGAAACTGATAAAAAAAGAAACTGATGAAAAAGAAACTGATGAAAAAGAAACTGAAGAAAGAGAAATTGTGGCACAAATCAATGAAGCTTGTAATGATTAATCGGCTTGCGCACAAATTCGACAACAGCGCTTAATTATCATCACCTTGGTAGGCTAGGTGCAAGATACAAGATATTGAGTTCATCACTGCATTTCCAACCAAAAAAAATATTTTCAAATCAAAGAAAAAAACGTTTTTCAGTAAATATACTCGAGATAAATATTATTAAAACATTTTGTAAGCAAACCATCACCTTGGTAGGCTAGGTGCAAGATACAAGATATTGAGTTCATCACTGCATTAAGCACAGGGGAAGGAGGGGGGGGGGAGTAAGATTAAATTCCAGGTTTGGATATCAAAGCTGAAAACGAAATAATTTCCCGGAAAATTGCAAAATTACGATTAGAAACGCGACGGTTCTCTTTCTACCTGTCGATGGATTCAAACGCCTCCATTTTAAACTGGATTAATGAATTGATTTAATCATCAATTAATCCGTTGAAAGGGGTGCTCCAGTTCTCCATTATTTCCAGGCTTCCGGCTCCAGGAAATTAACATCTGAAAAAAAAGTTTTAGAATTTACCGATTAATTAATAGAACATTGCTATTTTTAATGTATATTAACTGTCATTCAAGTTCTTATATTAGAACTGAGTGATGAATAGTTGTTATGTATATTATACATGTACATATATGGGTATTCTATGAATTATAATTGGGAAGGGGAGGGAAGAAATCACGATGGGAAGCAAAAATTACTCCCGGGGGGTATAGGGAAAGGCTATATGTTTATGCGGGGTTAATGGGTATGGGGGGGATAAGGGTTAAGAAGGGGGAGAGGGGGCACAGCGGGGGTAGGGTGGAGTGGGTGCAGGTAGGGTTACAAGATGCGGGTTTAAGAATGACTTACATTTTTAGAATAGAAGTTTTAAGTTTAAACCCCTTGAGGTTTAGGGTGCAGGGAGATTTAAAGGTGAAGAACTAAAATAGAGAATTATGGCTAGGGAAAGGGGGGGGAGGGGCTAAAATTAAGTTTGCCCTGATTATTTATTAACTTTCAAAGGAAATATTATGTAAAGAGAAAATAGGGGAGACTAAGGAAACCGGGAGATGGGGAAAGAGGAAAGGGGAGGAAAGGAGAAAGCGAGAACAGAAGAAAGCTGGAGGGGGAGGGGGGCGATGAATGGACAAAGCATGAAAAAGAAGTAAATAAACAAGGCTTAGTGCGGAGAAATTGAAGAGAAAGTTAACAACTGAAAGTGCATGATTGCTATCACGTTTTCTACGGGAACAAAGTGAGGATTTTCTCCGGTAGTCTGGTTACACAGTAGTTCAGTATTCATAATGTTTTATCATTATGATGGGAGAAGAGCTGATGAGAGAAGAGTTGATGGGAGAAGAGTTGATGGGAGAAGAGTTGATGGGAGAAGAGTTGATGGGAGTAGAGTTTGAGAAAAGAGTTGATAGGAGAGAAGTTATTGGGAAAAGAGTTGATTGGAGAGAAGTTAATGGGAAAAGAGTTGATGGGAGAGAAGTTAATGGGAAAAGAGTTGATGGGAGATAAGTTTAGAATGGGAAAAGAGTTGATGGGAGAGAAGTTAATGGGAAAACAGTTAATGGGAAAAGAGTTGATAGACAAAGAGCTGATGGGAGATGAGTTGATGAGAGAGGATTTGATGTACAAAGAGTGGATAAGAGTGTAGCTTGGATAAATTAGCGACGAATTGGTAATTAGGATCGAGTGAGAAGGGGGTTGGGAAGGGGGTAAGGGCGGTTAAAACGGAAAGTATATCCTAGTATAAAAAGAGAAGGGAACTGTATGAAATATAACCTATGCAGTATTTGAGGTGAAACATTATACTTAGTATTAATCTGGTTAATAAAGAGAGTAAAATGTCCGTAGGATCTATTACAAAATTATGTTTTGATTATATGAAGCTTAATGAAGCAACTGGAAAAATGCAGATGTTTATTTTTCATCCACGCCTGAAAAATAAATATTGAAAATTCATGCTAAAACAACAAAATATGTTTATCAAGTGATAAACTGAAAGCAGGATGAAGATGGAAGAAGAGAGGGGGAAAAACTCTGTAAAAGTAAACCATACGAAAATTAGAAAAAAACAGATGAAAACCGAAGAAATGATTTTTAAATTATCTAAAAAAAAATTCCCCAAAAACTAAAAAACGGTCATTTTCCTAAAATTCACTATTTGAGAATGGGGTGGGAGATGTTTAAAGAAAATATATACCCTGAAAGCGAGAAAGTGCTTAAAGTGTGGAAAAGATTAAGGCACAGAAGATGAAGGAACAGGATAAGGGAGGGTGGCGGAAGGGGAAAGGAAAGTTAGAAAGGGGAAAGGGAGGAGGGGGGTGTGGATAGCTAAAATGTAATGGTCTAGAAAGAATCTGAGAAATCTAAGTTGATGGCATCTTGTAGTGCTGAGTCCAAGAGAGTAAAAAGGGGAACTTTTTAGATTTATGAGATTGGCGTGGATCGAAGGATGGGAGAACAAAAAAAAGGAACAGTCAACGTTTTTTGATGTCACCCTAAGAAAACAATATAACAGCTAGGCTATCAGAGCCTATCTTCTATTTTAACTTTTAGTTGATGCTCTATAAGCGTTTTCTCTTTGATAAAACAATAATAACATTTTTTGCGGATTTACAATTTTTTTCGTGAATTTTTTTAAATCTAAACAAACAAAAAAATTGGAGACAATTTTTGTAATTCTGATAATCTAGAAACTTTCCCTGAGGCCATGTGAGGTCCCATAAAAAATTTGGTTCCGATCGGTTTAGCCGTTTTGACGTTTATCGGTTACAAAACGACAGACAAGCAAAGTAAATATATACTTCGATTGTACACTTACAGCTTTATATCGTTTTCATTTAAATTCAGTTTTTGTTAATAAAACATTTTGATTATTAATTATACAGGAAAAGTTTTAACCCATATGTAAGTTGTGATAAGTACGAGTTAAAGTTTTCACAATAAACAAGTTCAGAAAAACTTTCGAAATAATGGATTCCTTAGGAATCAGGGACTGCTATTGAAAAGAAGAAGAAGTTACTGCATTCAAACAGACTTTAATCTTACATTTTACATTATTGAATTTTTCTCAATTCGGTCTCTATATTATTGAAAAGGGGCAAGATAAAGGGGGGTGGGGAGTGGAGTAAGGGGGGTTAGAAGGAAACTGGGAGGAAAGGGGGTAGGGGACTGCTAAGGAATATTAATGCTTACTATTCTTATTAAAGAGAGAAGAAAGGTAATATATGGTTGAGGTTTAATTAGGGGGACAGGGGGGAGGGAATATTATATGTGTTTGAGGTTAAATTGAGGGGACAAGAGGGGAGGGAATATGTGGTAGTAGGGTGGAGTATCACATGCTGACCACAATTCAAGCCCTTTCCGGTCAAATTCCCCATACAGAATTTCCCTTGATAGTTCAGGCGGCCTATTTGATAAAAAATTCAAACATTACCCCCCCCCCCCTTTCCTTTTTAATGCTCAGTTTGGGGTTTTTCAAACTATTAAGGGCATACTATATTTGATAAAATCAATGTGTCGTTAATCCGTCACTATCCAACCAAAAAAAATATTTTCAAATCAAAGAAAAAAACGTTTTTCAGTAAATATACTCGAGATAAATATTATTAAAACATTTTGTAAGCAAACCCTTGACAAACATTCATGTAAACACACATTCATAAAAGTAAACAATATCAAAAATGTTGACAAACATGGCCGATACCAATTCCCACACAAATACATTAAAATTCAAACTTCAAAGTCAAAGTAGCTCTTTAAAAAAAATATAACTGGGGTTTGATAGGAGTTTCATTTTCTCGAAAATGTTTTTTTTTTTAAATGTCGCTATAAAATCTTTGTGTTTCATGATTCAATTGGTGCAAGAATAGACCTTTCAGCTGAATAATCATTTCATGCAACCGTTTTATTTTTGTAACTACAACTAAATAATATATATGTACTTCCCCCCCACGTTCTTCCAATTAAAAAGCTAAAAAAAAAAAGTTTAAAAAATCTATTTGTTTATTTCATATTTAATACGTAACGTTATTTTCTTCAAAATAAATTTTATCCCAAAAAAAAACAAGTTAGAGGTGCAATGTTTTTTCCAAATGAAAAAAAATAATAATAAATAATAAATAAATAATAGAGAGTAAGTTAGAATAAAGTTCATTTTAAAAGGAGTGTTCGCGAAAATTAATAGGGAGAATAGCCTTACGGCGAAAAATAGGCGCTTTTGATCGCTTTTAATCTTACTTCTATCTGTTGCGTCTATCCGGAGAAAATTTCATGATCTGAGAGTTACTTTTGAAAACAATTATTCCTGTTCCGAGATTTTTGATAATTAATTTTCCAGGAATGTTCGAAAATCCAGCGCCAGCGAAATATTATTTAAAAAAACAAAATCAAAAATATTATGATTATATTATGAACTATATACGAATACGTTGAAATATAATCGATGACTATTGTTCGTAATATCTCAATAATTTGTTTAGGATCCGAGTTGAATGTTGCAACTTTCTGAATTTATATGGACGCTACGTTCTTAAGCATGAGTCGTTTTTAACAACTTTCTCCGGATAGACGCAACAGATAGAAGTAATATTAGTAGCGATCAAAAGCGCTTACTTTTCGCCGTAAGCCTATACCCCCTTTCATTTTTTGCGAACATTCCCTTTAAGGTCTGCATTATGCAATAGTGCAGAAGTGCAATCTGTTATTGATTGCACAAACTTGTAAAATCAAGCTTGAGCGTATAAATAAACACAATGTTTACGCAGAAATAAACACAATGGTCAACGGATGTACGGGATATTACGCAATAAATACTCATTTCAAGAAAAGGATTATTTTAAAATAGAAATATGCATTAAGAATCAAGTAAATTGTATTCACATAAAGAACAAAAATGACCAACAAGCCCAGATTTCCTATGAAGTAAAATGTTTAGCAATATCTTTAATAAAAAATTGGCGTTTTTTCATATTCCGATGAATAAGTGATAAGCATATGTTAAAACTGATTCGGATTGAATTGTAGAATATATAAATATAAATATACATACAGGGTGTCGCGATTCTTAGGATACTTAAATACATACAGATACAGGGTGTCCCAAATGTTAGAACATATAACTAAACACACATACACAGGGTGTATCTAACGTCAGAAAAATATAAGTTTTTTACTAATTGAAACCTTTTTTGAGCCAATAGCTGCGTGTTCTACGAGATACCCTGTGGAAGAGTCTGAGTGAAATTTGATATATCTGGCCCTAGCTTGAAGCTACGCCACATTTACAAGCTTACTTACAAGCCTGCAGATTCATAGAAGTAGACTTACATTTGTAGGCAAACACCAGGGGTAAATATATTTTCTTTCTATATCCAATTTTTCTCAGATAACAAATTTGTAAAATTTGTACAAATAAATGCAATTTTAAAAATCACAATTTTTGAAGAAACTCAGAAAGTACTAGAGAACTACTACTAGAGAAACATGCCGTGTATGTACATTGTAC